TTTCATGGCCCCTCTCAGTTTTCAGCAGTATTCATTGGCATTGTGGGGACTGAGGACATGCGCAGTGCAAGGTGCACATGCTTTGTGTTCAGAACCAAGGCCGCAGTGAATCTGCATGATGCAACAGGGGCAAGCGCTGCCAGAAACACCTCAGATTTGTTACACATTTGATTTTTAATTAATTTTTGGTTGTTGCACATTCAGAAACCTTTTACTCTGCCAAATTTTTCACAACTTCATATAGGGTCACAATCCACAGTTTAAGAAGCACTGATTTAGAGCATTTTTATATGACTATAGATAGCTTTGAGTTCTTCTTCTGAAAACTGCCTGTTCCTTTGACCATTTATCAATTGGGATATGGCTCTTATTTTTATAAATTTGACTCAGTTCTCTATATATTTGAGAAATAATCTCTTCATCAGAAAAACTTAGTATTAAAATTTTTATATTACTTCTTTGTCTATGGTACCTTTTAGCAAAATATAGTTTCCCTGATTATCTCTTCTAATTAAATCTATTTTTGCTTTTGTTTTGTCTGAGATCATGCTTGCTATCCCTGCCTTTTTTACTTCAGTTGAACTATATTAGATTCTGCTCTGTTTGCTGTCCCTGCCTTTTCTACTTTGGCTGAAGTGTATCAGATTCTGCTCTAGCCCTTTTATTTTAATTCTGTATGTGTCTTTCTGTTTCAAGTATGCTCCTTGTAAACAACATATTGTTGGATTCTAATTTCTACTCCAATTTGCTATCTGCTTCTTTTTTATGGGTGATTTCATCTGATTCATATTCAGAGTTATAATTATTAACTATATATTTTCCTCCATCCCATTTTCTTCTATCTATTCTCTCACTTTATCCTATCCCTCCTCAAAAGTCTATTTTACTTCTGATCACAGCCTCCCTTAATCTGCCCTCCTTTTTACCATCTCCCCCTTTTTCTTATCTTATTCCCCTCCTATTTTCCTATTGAGTAAAAGAGATTTTTATTCACATTTGAGTGTGTATATACAGTCAATCCTCAACATTCCTGTTTAACTTTCATGACTTTAATCATTCACAAGATTTTATTAGTAACCTCATTTTCACTTTCACATTGGCAACCATGCACATTCACATCTATATGCAACAGAGAAAAAAAATGAGAGGTGCAATGTGCACAAGTTTGTGGTGTCCTACTATTATCCTAATAGGGTGTCTTAGTATAATTGACCAGCTGGCAAGGCTTCCAATTCCATCATCAGTCTCAGCCTTGAGGTTAAACTTCAACTCACCTCTGCTATGTAGGGCTACCGTGAGTGATGCCTATAAAGCAGTACCATCGCTTGATATAACCTCTTGTGTCACCTCTATTTAATTCTTCCTCTATCTAAATCATGAAGAATAGTTGGTTTTATTCTCCATGGAAAGAAAGAGTTAAAGGAAGATATGACCATGTCATCTGATGGTGAGCTGAAGGCAATGTTGAGCCTGAAGAAGGGAAGAATTAGGGAGTATATGATAGCTGTCTATTAAGAATTTAAAGGGCTATCTTGTGAAACAAGAATTAGACTTTTCTGTTTAGCACCGGGGGCAGAACTAGGCATAATGAGCTGAAGTTGCAAGGTGGCAGATTTAGGCTGGATGTAAGGAAAAACTTTGTAACTGAATTACACAAAATGTTATGGGCTGCCTTAATGAGCAATGGGATTCCCCTCACAGGAGATTTTGAAGCAAATATGGAATGACTACTTGCTAGGAATGCTATAAAGGGTATTCTTGCTAAGGTTGGATTAGATGACTGAACTCAGAGGTTCTGTGATATTGAGCATTGAATTTTGGCTGATTCATCATCAATACAGTCACTCAGCATTGTCTGCCTTCTCTCTTTCAACTATTGTGATTAAAGGATTGTAGATTTAGAGTTGAAAGAGATTTTAGAGGAGGGAATTGAGACCTTAAGTGACTTATCCAAGATCATACAATCACCTACAAATTCAGCATCCTTTTTACTGCACAATAATAGGTCTCATTGCTTTGACCAGTTTGACCTGCCAAATCAGTACAATCAGAAATTTTATGACTAACAGCATTATTTAAAATTCTATATAGAACTGACAAGGGAGAGTTATAGCAACAGATAAAAATTTGCTTATCCATTTCCATGCAAACATATTTCTCTTCTGTCACTATTAATTGCCTGTGAGGAAAAAAATCAACTAATTTCTTGAAGTGATAAAATGAATGGCTAGTTTTTATATCAGTCATTTATGCCTGACAGAGGAATAGCCTGTAATAAATAAATAACTATAGATTCAGTTCTACAAAAATGAATTTAGCACCTTTTATGTACTTGGCACTGCACTTGGTCCTGGGGATTTGAAAATAAGAAATGGCATAGCACCTACTTTTGAGAAAAATCTCAAATATAATCAAGTAGAGAGAATGAAACATATACACAAGTAACTACAGTGTAAATTACAATATAAATGCTGAGAAGACAGAAAAGCACAGGAAATTTGAGGATAAGATTAGAGATATTCATATATTCATATATATATATAGATATAGATACAGATAGATATAGATATAGATATAGATATATACTACCTTACATGCTTATGTGAAGATTAAATAAGGTAATTCAACAAACTTAAAGGATGAGTAGGAATCTCACAGGACAAGACAAGGGAGAATATTTGAGGGATAAAGAATGATGTCAACAAAGACATGGAGGTAGGGGAGTGCAGGACGTGTTGGGGACAGAGAGTAGTCTAGTTTGTATTAAATACCTACCATGTACAGGGCACTATGTATAAAGCCAAAGTAAATCAAAAGTGTCATATATGTCTCCATTATTATTTAAAGGAGGTGAGTTCAAAAGATGGCAAAAAGGAAAGAGGACATTCCATGCAGAGGTAATTGAATTTGTAAAAGCTAGTAACTTGTCATACTCTGACAATAATTTCATCAAATTTGTTGATGACACCAATCATTTGGATGATAAAATTGGGAACAACAAGATTTTAAGGGACTAAGACAATAAACTAAATGTGATTAAATTTCTTAAGAATAAATGTAAATTCCTGCATTTTGGTTCAAAAAATCAACTGCACAACTGCTGGATGGAGCAGACATAACAACAAAGTAGCTTATATGAAAATAGTCTGGTGGGTATAGAGAAATGTTGCACTTCCCCACCTCTGTGTCTTTGTTGACACTATTCTTTATTCCTCAAACATCCTTCTTTGTCTTCTCTTGTGGAATTCCTACTCATCTCTTAGAGACCAACTCAATGTCATGTCCTCCACAAAGCTTTCCTTGATCCTCTCTGTAAATAAAGATCTTCCTCCCTCCAGACTTCACACGGTACTTTGAGTTAACCCATCTGAAGTAATGCTGTGTTTTAAAGTCAATCTGTATTTGTGTCTGATTCTCCCTTCTAGACTCTAAGCTTCACAAGAATAAGAATCATATCATATAAATTTTATATCTTCCACAGAAATTGTCACGGTAATCAGCACACAGTAGATATGTAATAAACATCTGTTGAATGAATGAAAGACTAAATGTGACATCTCTCCTGAAGTACAAGGCTACTTATGTCTTTCCCCTACTCATAAGCTCTACTGACTCATTATTACCTTTAGAACCAAATGTAAATTCCTCTGTTTGGTATTTAAAGCCTTTCATGATCTAGTCACAACGTATCTTTCTGGCTTTATTGTACATTACTTTCCTTCCCACAATCTATGGTCCAGTTAAACTGACTTTCTTACTGTACCTCGCACAATATTTAACTTCCTATGTCCATATCTTTCCATTGGCTGTTCCCATACCTGAAATATACTCACTCCTCCTCTCTACCACTGGAATCCTTTGCTTCCTTCTAGACAGGTTAAGCATCACTTTCTACTTTAAGCCATTCCTGATTAATTCCCCAACCACTAGACTTCTTCCCACCAAAAAATTACTCTGTATTAGATAGATATAGACAGACAGACATGTGTGTTTCTGTGTCTGTGTGAATGTATACCTATACCTATACCTATACATATACCTATACCTATACATATCCATATCCATACACATAGATGTATTTATCTCTCCTAATAAAGATCCTTTAGGGCAGGATTTTTGTCTTATATTCCTAGCACTTAGCACAATACCTGGAACATAGTAGCCATTTAATAAATACTTGTTGATTGATTGTCTTCTGCATCCCCTGCCCTGTCAACCATCCCAGCCACTTCCTCCACCCAAAGTGGCCACCAATCCTCCCTTTCCAATACTGTCAATGCCACAACGCAGTCTTTACCCACCTGTGACCTCATTACCTTTGATAACCACTATTCTTCAAACCTGATAACCAAAAAGCAAACCCTACACAGGCAGGGTTCCTATGGTTGCTAACTAACTCTTTGTTAGCAGCACTGTTAGTATTAGGCACAGCATGCATGTACCCTAGCTTCGGCCCTACAAGTACCTCACATATAATTATGTTTCTGAATCTATTAAAGAATCATTCATCCCTACCTCTTCCCCAAAAACATTATCAGAGATGTGAAAGGAATGATAATGGTGTAATTTCAACAAAGGGTTTTGAGTTCCTCCATAGAAAAACATTTTGGTATTAAGGCAAAGCCCATATCGGGGAGAAGGAAAATCGTTTGTGCAGTGATGTCACTCAGACATCTTGCCAACTCCAATAGTGTCACTAACTGTCCTGTCAGCCTTCTAGACATCCTGAGAAGTAGCTTCAGAAGCTCAGAGCCATGTCAGAAGTGTCTGGACTCTTCTTCCCTGAGAACATAGACCTGCATTAGTGTTACTTAACAGATGTCACAAGACAGGCACACACACATGCACGCAGGCATAGCCATGCCCAAGCACAAGCATAATCAGGCACATGCACTGTTATCATTCTGGGTGATGTAGGGGAGCCTGCCCCGTGGGGTGAAAGCAACTAAGAAACGAGGGAACGGCAAACTAACGTGTGTGTGATCATGCTCTATTTTCAGCTTGTCATCATGGCTGGGACCGTTCTCCTCGCCTACTACTTCGAGTGTACTGACACTTTCCAGGTGCATATCCAAGGATTCTTCTGTCAGGACGGAGACTTGATGAAGCCTTACCCTGGGACAGAGGAAGAAAGCTTCATCTCGCCTCTCATGCTATACTGCGTGTTGGCTGCAACCCCCACTGCTATTGTAAGTACAAAAATAAATTTAATCCTTCACCGGGGATGCCGAAGATCCCGTCTGCCTTTTATCACCCTCTCCTCTTCTTTGTCTTCTGCAGCTTGCTGCGGCAGCACCGTCTCCAATGCTGCTTTAAAGCCATAGAAACATAAGATACAGGGGTAGCTTCTTCAATAAAATTCTGAGTTGATCATTCAGGTTACAAGGACCGATTGTTTTAGAATGAAACGTAACAGCATCTCTCATGTCCTGATCTGATCCCTTGTGCCTTTGCTATTCTCTGAGGAATCAAATTTAAACAACACCAAATTTAAATATCAGAAAGCCAACAGGCACAATTTGTGTACCTGTATTCCAAAGTGGAAGCTTAGCTATTTTTTTAAAATGATTTCTCCATTGCATGTTTTTAGCAGAGGCCCCAGATCTAAATGCTATTGCTAACATTTCCAAGATCACATGAGGATCAGATTTGTAAAAGTACTTAGCACAGTGCCTGGCACACATAGGTGCTTAATTAATGCTTGTTTCCTTTCCCCTTCCCATGATCTTCATAGGATTAAGACTGAAATTGAAAGGGAAGGGGAAAGATCCTCAACATTCTCTCTGTTACCATCCCAAAAGAATTACAAGAGAGTTCAGCCGAGCAAAAACTTGTTTCTCCCGGAGTTCATTTGTATTTTGCTCTTTGTAGTTCTCTGTCTTTATCTGGGATTCCTTTAAATCACATCCAATTAAGTTTCATCTTTACCTCCATTTACTTTATTCTCTCACAAGGCAATGCATTTCTCCCAGATAATCCTCTTGGGAAACACTGCATTCAGAGCAAGAAGCCAAAGCATCTGGGCTGCTTGTTGAAATGATTTAGTGTAAAAATGATGACTGGCTCAGTATTATTACGTTTTAAAGCCAATACTCAACTAAATATAACGCCTGGTCAGATAAGGTACAATCACTTTTCTTTATGTGGTTGATACACTCCTCCCTTCACCATCACTTCTCGTAATGCTGGTCTTTATTCAAGAACTTCAAAGGGTTCTATAAATGGTAACTGGTGTGTTCTCAGTTGGCTCATCCTCATGAAGCTTTCCTGGATCCCTGAAATCATTAGCACTCTTTTACACCTCAAATTACCTAGCTTTGGACTTTTTTCTGTTTATGACATATCACCCCTTCTGTACACAACCCAACCTGTTCCACCACCACCGTCTGAGGGGGTTAAACAGCTTGCTTGAGATTATGGAACTAGTAAGTGGCAAAGACAGGATTTGAACCCTCGCTTTTTTTTTTTTATTTGAAATCTAGAGATCTTTCCACCATGCTAAAATGTACTGATTGCATAGTCATTCGCCTAGTTTGGTTTGTTATGCATTCATGCTTTGAAGCTTGTGAGGTTAGCTGTGGAGTGGTATTCTGAGTAGAAATTAGACAAGGTATCCCAAAAGTAAGCTGTGCTAAGATTTTTAGAACTGCCTCTATAAAGTGTAACTAGGACAGAAGCCTTTTTCATCTTAGGACTTGGGCAGAGAGGATCTGGGAGTGAAAGGCAGCCCAGTAAGTGGAAATGGTGATGAATTTGAAGTGTTTTTGTCACTGATATCCAGTGACAAAAATAAGCACCCAACTCAGGCTGAATATTAAAGCAATTGTGTTCTATGGACTGATAAATTGTAATGTGGTATTGGAATATTATCTACTTTCAGAGTTATCTAAGACTTCTTAAATTTTCTACTTTCTTTTTTTTTAACAAGCATTTCTATAGCGCCTGTATGTGCCAGACCTTGTGCTAAACACTTTACAAATATTTTATCCTCACAACAATATTGGAAGGTAGGTGCCATTATTATCACCATTTTACAGATGAGAAAACTGAGGCAGACAGCGATTAAGTGACTTGCCCAGGATCACACAGCTAGTAAGTATTTGAGGCAAGATTTAAACTCAGGTTCATTGACTCCCTCCAGGTCCCAGGGCTGTATGCACTTCTACTACACCACCAGGATATCTTTTTCTATTTTAAAAGTATTTTTAATCACAACACTTTCATAGGATATTTTTGCTGGATGGAGACTGTTAGAATGACTAGGTCAAAGACAAGCTGCACTCATTTTAAGTCTTTCTTTTCATTTTTGGGCTTGGGGCAGAAAGGGTTTGGGAGTGAAAGGTGGACCCCCAGCAAGTGTAAACAGTACCGACCTTGGAGTCAGGATACATAACTTTGAGAACCAGCCCTGCCACTATTATCTGTATGATCTTGGCAAAGTCACTTGTTTTGTTTTGGTTTTTTTTTTTTCACCTATAGAATGTGCAAGGTTGGGGTGGGGGAGAGAGGAACTTAGATGTTCTCTAAGGTCCCTTTCATCTCTGAAATTCTGTAATTCCAAATGCAGAGGAAGTTATTTTGGCTACGGAACTCCTAGAGGCCCAAACCTATTCTTTAGCAGTTTTAAAGACATCAGTGGGTTTTTCTCAGCTGAGCAGAGCTAGATTGAATTCTACCTGGATCTCTTTATTCTTTTCTCATGCAAAGTACTGGCGTTATGGGAGGGGTACCCTCCCCCTGGAAGGAGGCAAAGCACTGGAGTCTGTATCACACTCAATTCCTTGCCAACCTTAGGAACCAGGGAGAGAGCCAAAGATTGCCACCCACATGCCTTACATGGCAACATGCAGAACTGTAAAAACAAAATAACAAGAACAGGATTTTCTTTGACTGAAAAGATCCTACTGGTAATTTTATATCAGGGCAGAAAACAGATGACATCATAAGGTCACTTCCAGTCCTATAAGTATATGATGATGATTTGTGTTCACACAGACATTTCTTCTTACTGTTCTAAATTTCTTGCAAATACTACGCTGAGAGAAAACTTGGTATAGAAGATAGAGTGCCGGACCTAGAGTCAGAAAGACCTAGCTTCAAATCCTACCTCTTATCCTTACTAGCTGTGTGACTATAAGTAAGTCACATACCCTCTCTGAACCTCCATTTCCTCATCTATGAAAATGTTAATAACAATATGCACAGTATTGATATCCTAGAACTGTTGCAAGACTCAAATGTAAGAACACACATGAAACATTTTTGCCAACTTTGAAGAGTTCTAGGTCACCTCTTATTTTCATTTTTGCCCTCCTTCCAATAACTTCACTATGCCAATAGTCATGGTCTTTCTTCCCTCTGACGGTGCAGCTTGGACCTTTTCTAAGTCTTCTCATCTTCTCATTCTCCCATAAATCCTCCATAGAATATCCACCCAACACCCTGGAGAACTTCCTCTAGGTCTTTTAGCCTTCTGTGGCTCCCTGTACAATACTCAGGCTGCCTGTTATCTCTCACTCACAGGACTTGATGGGCCCACTTCCTTTCCCAGTAATACATTTTTGGGATTGTATCTTTTTTTTTTTTAACCACTTTTTGCATATGGGTCATCATTAGTTATATTGGTCCTTCCAATATCCATAGGCAAGATTTTTACTTGGATCTCCTTGGTTACTTAAGAGATACATAAATGTCCAGACTTAGGGAGATGACGCTGGTACCTGACCTGGTCAGGACACAGTTGGCATGCTATATTCAGTTTTGGTCACTATATTTTAACACAGACATAGACAAACTAGTGCACAGCCAAAGGACGGCAGGAGAACTGGAGACCTCTCCACCAAGGATCAATTAAAACAAATAAGGTTGTTTAGCTGGAGAAGAATTAAACAGGAATCATAAGATCAAATATTTGGAGCTAAAAGGAAAATTAGAGGCCATTGAATCTATTTCCCCCACCCTTTATTTTACAGATGAGGAAACTGAGGCATGAAGAGTTTAAGTGACTTGCCCAGGGTCACACAGCTAGCAAGAATCTGAGGCAGGATTTGAACCTAGGTCTTCCTGACTCCAAGTCCAATGTCCTGTTCACTATGCTGTGTCTGCAAGCAAGGCTATCACGGGAAAAGGAGATTAGACTTGTTCTGTTTAGTTCTAGAGAAGAAATGTGAGACCAATGGGCAGAAAGCATAGAGAGAAAAACTTAGTCTTGGTTATATGGGGGAAGAAAAAAATGTTTTCTAACACTTAAATAAGTAACGCAGAAGTGGAATCTTCCCTTTAAAAAAAGCTAGTGGTGTCCCACCCCCTTCCCTTGTCCTCACTGGAGGTCTTCAGGCAGAAACTGGATGACAACTGTCAGCTATATTGTCAACAATAGTCTTGGATCTGGTGTTCCCTGGTGCCTCAAAGGTCCTTTTGAACTCAGATTCTGATTTTTAGTAGCTTCTCTTTTTTTTCTTCTCTAAGAAATATCCAACAGATTTATCAAACATTAGCTAGTCCTTTACTTCCTCTACTAGTTAGTTCACAACAAATTAAATATTTCAGAATGATAATGTGTCAGTTAAAGAAAGTAGCTGCCCATGGGGGGCACACAACCGTGTGAGTGTCACTGTGATGACCCTCTGCAATCACGGCAGCTCTCCCGGGTTTCTTATGAATCACCTAAGTCACTTACTAGGCATTTATGATGTTCTGCCTTAGACACACTTCTGCCTCCCTCCCTTGTATTGCTTTTACTCACATTATCTATTTGATCTATTTGTTTTCATTCTTCCGGGGCATATAACTCCTCATACGTACAGGTCTACTATGCAAGATGGTAGCTTTTCCCTCCCACGGAATGGTGGAGAGAGTTGCCATGAAAGAATCAAACCTCTTGGCATTAAGTGTATTAGTACCATTGGAGAAAAAAGATGATTTGTAAATGATCAGGGTACATTTAATATTGCATTCTTTAAGCTAGTTATAATTTGAGGAGACACAGAGTTATTTTAAGTTTATCATTTTGTTTTGGAAAGATGCTTGGAGTCATGTGATATGTTTAATATACAATTTGTTGGACTTGATGACTTCAGAGGTCTTTCCATGTTTATGATATACTCCAGAGAAAGAACTGATGGAGTCTGAATACAGATTGAAGAATATTTTTTTAACTTTCTTGTCTGTGTTTTCTTTTGCAACATGA